ATTATGTCATCGTGGTGAATTACAGAGTTATAAAAGTCCCCAATAACCTCCATTCTTATTCTCCCCATCCAACTCTCTTTAGCATGTGTATCTCTCCACAACTTTCTAGGCGTGGTATAAATATGGTTTCTCTCCCCCTTTTTACGTCGGTGAGCTTATAGCATGCCTCGTTGCTCTGCGGCACAAATGTCTAAAGATGAGCACTGGGAGCCCCCCTAGGGCCCCGTGGAAGAAAGACCTGGCCGTTGGCTCTGGTAAACGTTTCGGCCAAGAAAATGCAACGGGGCTCGGTTCTACCCTGACACAGGGGAGGTCACTGTGCATCGGAATCGACTTGCGACGGCGGTGGCTCTGGGGCTTTGTTCTGTTCTGATGCTGCAAGGGGCCCGTTTCTCTTTCCGGACAGTCTTGATCTTGTCAGTTTATCTGGAGTCCTAGATAAGCCTCCGCTCCTTGATGCTGCCCATGCCTGTCTCCTTTCTATGCCGGTGGGTGAGGCTATGTGCGTGTCTGCCTCTCGCTGGCATCGGTCCGTGCGCCGCACAGAGACCACAGGACAGGGTGGAACTGTGGTTTGCCCAGGGAGTGGAAAGACCCCTCTTCCTCCCGAGGAGAGGCTGGTGGTTTTGAACTGCCGACCTGGTGGTCAGCAGCCCAACCTGTAACCACGCCACGATTTAGTCTCCTTTCATGATGTGCGCGGACAATTTTATCATGTTCTGTGGACTCCCTTCTCTTGTACACATTGATTTGAGGAACGGTTCACTGGTGATGCGTGAGTAATTTACATCTGGAATAATTCAGCATCTGTTGAAGACATATTCTCACGGATGACCACTGTTTGTTGTTGACTGCCCCACCCCGCTCCTCCACATCCAGCCTTTTACTCCTGCTGGTGTTGTGGGTTACAAATTGGGCCGCTCACCATGAGGCTAGCCGTTCGAAACCACTGGCCCCTCCTCTGGGGCACGATGTATCTTGCTACTCCCATTAAGAGTTCCAGTCTGGGAAAAGCATGGGGCCAGTTCTACCACGTCCTGCCATGTTGCTTTGAGTCAGAATTGGCTCGCTAACAGGGTGTTTTGTTTCAGTTTTCAGTTTTACCATGTTTAGAATGTCTTGGGTCGTATTTAAATTTTTCGTAGCCAAGTGGTTTGTCATGTGCTCCATTATGGCTTCTGGTTTGAGTGTCTTGTGCAACTCCTATGAGTAATCTGTGGAAGGCGTTTATCAGTTTATTTTTAATCTCACACTCTTCAAGTCAGAGGTCACAGGGTCACAGAGCTGAGGCCAAAGCTTGTACAGGACTTCTCCCTGGAAGCTGGGGGAAGGACCCAGGCCCTTGTCTTTCTAGAGTTCTATTTCCTCCATCTTGAATCATGTTCATTTAGATCTTGCTGGAAGGTGGAGGGCTAGATAATATATAAAGCGATAATCTAGCAGGTGTTTTTTTTTTTTCATGAGTGATCATTTAACTGTATCTTTTCCTCAATGATTTGAAATGCCACCAACACTTCCAAGCTGCCTGCCTAGACTCTCCACCCACCCCACCCACCCCTAGTCTCCTATTCCGTTTGCATACAATTATGCCCCTGGATTACATGGGTGAGTTCATTTTCTGACCAAGAGAGCCAGCCTCCTTTCTTGGGCTTGTTTTAATGTTAGAACCAGTCTGTCCGGTCAAGTCCGGGAATTTGAGGTTCGATCACGTTACCCTCTGAGCTTGTTTAGGGGAGAATTGGTCACGGGAGGTGGTGGCCATAATCAGCGGCCTTCTGTCCTGTCTTGGATGGGAAGCC